GGGGGGGGGGGGGGGAGAGGAGAGAAGAGGAGAGGAGAGATTGAGACGAACGGAACGGGATAGATATGTGGGCAAACGAGAGCGACGAATGGCAAGAAGGTTTGTTAGGTTAGGTTAGCTTAGGCAGAGCGACGATGGGTAGATGGAGGAGTGGCGGAGCGGAAGGCCGGTTAGGAAATGGCTGCCACCTGTAGCTATTGATCCGGAGGGCGACGCCGAGTGTACTTTCCGTCACTCCGGTTACTACACGACCTGTACAAACTTGGACCTGTTCGATCGATTCCTTCGACTGATATTGGCATCACTTGGACATTTATTCTTTCTCGAATGAAACGTTCGTATTGTAATATTGCCATCGGCATTGATCACTGACAAGCACCTGTCAGATTTACAAGAGATTATCGTTCTAACTCTGCTTACATTTTATTCCACAATAACACATAAAGAGTTCCCCACTTGTAACAATGAATTTCGGACATAGAGCCTTGTCAGTAATACGGGTAGACAGATGATCTATTATTAATAATTTAACATGATAATTTAATAACTGTAGGCGACGGAGTATGGTCAAGAATAACGGAAGTAGAAGATATTTTTTTGATAATGCGACGGAAGTGGCTATGGGTTAAAAGAGTCTCCACCGAAGGAATTGGCGGAAGGATATCACTGGTATAATGTAGGGCTTGGGTTGGATGAAAGATTGGGTAAAAGGAGCACAATGTCGAGAGAAGGCTGCTTTGAAGCCGCGATGAGCAATGTTTCGGCCAGTCAGCCGGTCCGTCAACCAACCAACCAACGAACCAACAAACCAATCAACTAGCCAGCCAGCCAGCCAGCCAGCCAGCCAAGCCAGCCTGCCTGCCTGGCTGCCTGGCTGCCTGCCTGCCTACCTACCGATCAATATAGCTACAGGTGTCTGAGACTACTGTTAGCAATGGGTACATGGATTCTGCAAGTATCCTAGGGCTTTTGATATTTTATTTGTAAACGCATATTAGAAAGTGATTGTTGGATTGTTGGAATTCTATAAAATTAATGAATTACGAACAAAATCGTAAAGCTGCCCTGCAACGCTGGTCACACATCTTTATTTACTAGACAGGTGTGTCGAGCACACACGAACTGCATTTCGTTCCATATTCAAAAGTGGGTTAATGGGTCACCTTGGACTATCAGCTTCCTTCGGCGTCACCGCAGTCATCTCCATTTTCTTATGCGAATGATGTTTGCATATAAAAAATGTTAACGCGTGTTCTCAATCTTCCGTATGTTACTACAATGTTATTTTCCTTATAGGCATGTACAAGGAATAACTATTATATTATCACTTGCACTGACACTTGCACCTCCTAAAGCTCCCGTTAGCCAATTAGCAAATTATTTATGCAGCAGATATCTTGACTGTATCGCTCCATGCTGCTAGTCGCATACACGAGGATCGTGACAATGACAATGGTAAAGAGCGTCGTAACTCAAGTCTCATGAAATAGAAGGTACAGTGAGCATTTAAGCTTTCGTAAATTTAGATTTTGTCAGTTCAATTGGACTTTTTACAATTATTTTAATATACGAATAATCGAACACGGCTTGAGCGTAATCCCGACAAACAATAAGTAACAGTTACATACATAATTGCAATGTAACAATGTTACGTATGTAGGTGTTACGTATTTTTTGTTGGGAAAGTAATAAATTGCAATGAACACGCAATTTATCTCTCGCCTCCCCCCCCCCCCC